AGACTATACAGAGGACACATAATATGCAAGTTATCTCAACAGCAAAGGAGAAAAGGTAGATTAAATTTGATCTGGTGGAACGATTTGGTCAAATTCAGTGGCTTAAGTTAATGTTTCTAGCCCTTATCTACCTATATTCAGTACAGGCATACAGCAGGACATACAACTGCACTGAATTCCCATTTGTTAACAGTGTGTGCTCCCATGCAAGCGGAAGCCAATTCCTGAAAAAACCCAAATTTAAAAAACCCAAACATTTTAAATCTTTTGTTTGAAGCATCACTCAACTGACTCAGGAAAAACACTCAATATGTTATAAAAAACACCCGGCCTTTACAAGGTCCGCTTCCTGTAGTATTAATATTTTAAAATTATTTTTATTTCTCCTATCTGCCTAAGAAACTCCATATGCTCTGAAAGCACCCACAAAGTCAGGTGGGTAAACAGATATGTCAAAAATACTCTGAAAAGAGGGAGGTAGCTCAGGCCCGTTGGCAACCTTTTGTCAAGAGTTCACATTGATGTAGTCTACCTCCCTTTGTAATCTGCAGTCCAAAATTAAAGAAAAAAGGATTCCATTAGGAAATTTAGTGAAAGAACGTGTTCAATACAAACTCTTCCAATTCAACTCATTGGGCTTCCAGATGTAAGTTATAAGATACCTCACACCCAATACACAACATGAAAAACATACCCTAATTCATACATTTTATAGACAATATTTTGTTTCTCATTTGTTAAACATTTGGCTCTGGTGAGTACATCTCTCTTTTTATTACCACTTGATAAACATTCTAGGCCAAACAAACAGCACAAGTAACGTTAAAGTCTTTTTTTTTTTTTTTTCCAGTAATTGTACCAACTGCTGTAGGCTAAGCCTAACAGAAACTACTGAAGAAAAACAATAGACTCCATGATGCAGTGCAAAGGTATTACTACAACATCGTAAGTCAAAGGATGTTTCTAAGGTGCTGAAAGAGGAGATTCTCTAGAAGGTGACCCTGTATTGTCCTCCGGGGGGAAAACAGTAAGAGTGCAGGCTCGAATGCCACCAAGCGATTCGGGAAGGTCAAACACTTTATGCCACTCATCTTTTTCTGGATCGTATTTCTGAACTATTTCCACCATACACCGATTATTCCACGAGTATCCTCCAACAACATAGATTTTATTTTCAAAGACAGCAACCCCAACATCACTTTGCCCACGTAACATGGCGGCAATTGGAGTCCACTGGTCTAGAGTTGGTGAGTAATATTCACAGCTTAGAACATCATCATAATCACTTGTTCCTCTAAAGTGATTTCCACCAATAACATAAAGCTTGTCTCCTACAGTACACATGCAATGCAGACCTCTGACTGTCGTCATCGGAGCTTTCTGAGTCCATTTGTCTGTGTCAGGGTCAAAACACATAAGTTCCTTTTGGAAAGTATCGTGGGTAATTCCCCCTAAAGAAAGAAAACACATGTTAAAGTAGCACTTACTCTAGTAAGCAATAAAGAGCAAAAACATACATGTTAGCGAATTAATTCAGTCTGCCTTAAAACTTCTTCACATGAACTTACAAGAGTCTCACATATATATACCACATTTCAAATTACATTGTTCACGTAACTTTGTTCTTTCAAATCTGAATGTGCAAAGGAGCCATGTCTCAGAGTACTCATATATATAAGAAGATACTGCCAGATTAAAAGCACAGAAATTGCTATCTATGCTTCATTCGGCCAAAATTATTATTTCTTCATTTATATTTGTTCAGTTTGCTTGTTTTGTTTACTCACCGTCATGAAACTAGGAGTAAATTTCCCTTTCAAAATTTAATAGACAAGTATCATGTTCTAGGTAGTCCTACTACACAGCAGAATTTCTTCAGAAACCTTTTCTCATCAACTTGAATGGAAGCGACAGAGAGAGAGGATACAGATTTCAAACATTTTATGTTAGCAGATGCTTATGGCTCTAATGGATGCTTATGGTTCTGGCTATCTTTACCTTCTCGAGGGCTCCCTGCAAAAGCAGATGGAGCAGCTTCAGGGGAAATCACAGGGCGATTTCCCATCAGTGGGTGAAACGTCCCTCCTTTCTGCAAGGCCACTAGGCAGGTCAGAAAGCAGCCACACCGATTTCAGACACTGTGGGCTTATTAGCTATGGTTTGCTTCAGCCCATACTGCAACTATACTTGAGGTGCTACAAAACACAGCAAGAACACGCCACCACTGAACAACCTCCCGCTGGCCTAACTGCTCAACGCGAAACTCTCGCACTTGGATTAACTGACTGAGCAGTTGCCTGGTGTCTACAGACGTTACATGAGAAAGTACTTAACTGCTCATCTGGACAGGAAAAACTGAACATAGGAAAAACAGAGGGGACCATGCAGTCCTGACATTTATTGACAGCCATGGTAGCGACAGTGCTTGGTAGCCTGCAAACGAGCAGATGCCTTAATGACAAAGAGCCTGTCATCCCACGTTTAGAGGAACAAGTGCTTATACCCATGGGGATATTTACAGGGACAGGAGGAGGAAAAGAAAAATCTGTGGGAAATATACAGCAACTAGATGAGCAGCTACAGCAGACAGCATATACCTGTGTTGCCTGCAGTGAAACAAGAAAAAACAGGCAAAAAATACAAACAGCAGATCAGTGATTGGAAGCTAACTTAGACTTAGATCCAGAAAAATAAATAAGAAGCCGGACCTTATGTTAAATTTTAAAACAAACCTCTATTCTACCTGCACAAGCCCCCAGTTAAAATACCGCGATGATCAATCTGATCCAATGGATCTCCCTGTCGGTTACGCTGACAGCTAAATTTCCCACCACCTTGTCCCCCAGGATTTCAACTTGGTCCTTGGAGGAGTTGCCTGAGAGCTGTGGCAGAAGAACATAAACCAGGCTGTGTTCTCTTTTCCCCTTTGCCGTTATCATGGAAAGCACAACGCCTGTCAGATGCTAAAACCTAGCAGCAGATATTCAGAACCAAACACGATGCAGCAATGTGGGTGCAAAGTCTAATCTTTCCCCTCAGTGGCGAAACTGGAATAGCTCTAGCAGAGATCACTGACAGACTGAGATTGAAGCCTCTTTAAAAACAAAGCAGATACCAGATTTTCAGAAAGCCCAATTAAAAAAAAAAAAGATATTAAACTATAACCTTGGCGACATATAGGACTAAGCGCATTACCATTAAAGAGTAGTGAAACAAAGGACACGATTTGTCTCCTGTGATTAACATTAAAACTTTTGCCTTCACATTAGCTCAGTAAAGGTTGATGATGTTCTTTACAGCACTAGGATCCTGTGCTTTCCAAAATGCATCAAAATGCATGTGTTTAATACTTACCGTTATATGAGTGTTCAAGTGCTGTTGCCAGAAAAATGTATTCTGACAGTTAAAGCACATAACTCTGCTTTGCAATTCAGAGCTGCTGTTTAAATATGTATGTAAACACACATATTATCTAAAATTGTTGTCTTAGATTCTGCAGGACGTATGTTACTTGGCTGGCTTCATATGAATTGGAGTCATTGCTTATACAATGGCAGACCTCCTGTGACCACAGACTAATTCTTATTGTGTCCCACTGAAATAGGAAAAGTTAGGTGAGTAATTTTTTCAAGTGAAATGATATGCTCATATGAATTATTTACCTGAAATATACATTAATCCCCCATACACGGTTCCAGCATGGCCGTAGTGGGGTTCATTCATTTTTGCGACATAGCTCCACTCATTCATTCTGGGATTGTAACACTCCACAGTAGCTGTTTAAAACAAACAAGCGAGAATATAAAAATGTTGAATCTAGCAGTGATTTGATTTTGAACACAGTAGCAGTGACATTAATATATTCATAAACAGAGGAAGCATCAATGAGAAAACATTGTTTAGTTGAGAAAATGTCAAGGGAAATTATTGAATATTATGTCTAGAGACAATGCAGAAAATCCTCAAGCTTTGTCCCAGAGGAACAAAAAGGAAGAAAAAAAACCTTCTTGCGCTCTTGCCTTGCATTTGTCTCCTTCCCACTCCTACCTGACAACCAACCTGCCCCAGCTCATGTCAGAAACACCTTTGCCAGAGATACAGTGGTAGGATACTAGAAGAAAAAGGTGACAAAGTTGGGTGCATTCAGCTTTTCTACCCCTTTCTCTTCTCCAACCCTCTCCAATGTTTGCTGTAGATAGGTAAGGAATACACCTAAAATCTGTCACAAAAAGCACCAATAAAACTGGCAATGAGAACTTTTTTTAGGACCCATATCTTCAGCAAGGTCCCACACATGCAGAAAACAGGCTAGGTTTTCTTCTTAGTATTTTGTATTAAAATAGTACAACGTCCTCAAAAGGAGGCAGCAGCTGTTGACTAAGAACTTTCTACCACCTTAGCTCTTGTTAAATACTTGCATGTGCTGTGCTGTATGTTGCTGTACAAGTCATTAATTCAAATAGTTTACAAAAGCCGAGCTTTGAAAAAATACAAGATGAAACATCACTGAATTCAAAACGGAGAGAAAAGGTCCCTGTACTGATATGCCGCTCCATTTGTGCCATTTTCTTTGTAGGGTTAAAACGTTAAAATAATCAAGGGGATTTATCAAAGCAGAAATGGCAGAGATTAGTGCTAAGTGAAAAGGAAGTCCAGATCCTAGCTGGCCTTGCAGAAGGCAGTTCTGGGAAGGATTCCTCTCCTGGACATGGGAAGTGATGCAAAGGCCCAGGAGAAGGGCTATGCAATAAACACAGAAGTAGATTTAAATAACGGTTCAGAGCAAGTTATGGAGATCGGCAATTTGAATAGTACAATATTATCAGAGTCAAAGATCCTAAAACACCCTGTAATATAGCGACCTTGCCATGTACAAGGCAATTATCAATAATTGGGCTACCTTAAAGGCAAATTTAAATGTCATGTTTAATAATGTAAATTAAGAATCAGATTCTAATGCTTATTATACACTGCTTAATCTCTGAAGAGAGATGTTTATGGACTATGCATAGAAAATGTAATTCATCTTTGAACGTAGCATTCTACTTGTGCTAGAACAAGCTTTTATTAAGTCAAGCGTAGAAAACCGGAGCTGAGCTCTAAGGAATCAGTGATAGTGACCTGCAGTCCAGTATTTCATGTCAACGGAATGAGAGAAATGAAGAATACAGAAGGCCAAGGTTCTCTGCTTCCAAAAGGCTGGTTACAGAGTTAGTGCAAGCCAGTGGCATTAGCACTACCTCTGGTCAATGACACTGTACAGTGACTATAAAGTAGCACACCACAACTTCAAATCTGTATTCATTTCAAAAATAATCCTGTGGAGCACTTTAGAAGAGTACGCTATAGCTATGGCTGAATGCTGAAGCTTCAGACAACCTCCAAAAGATCCCCAGTCAAGGAAAATTTAGGATAAAGTGCATTAAACAGCAACTCTCTGAATCATGTTTTAACTGCTACACCACATATAATCTCCTTATTGCTGCTAAACAGGGCGATGTTTCATAATTCCATGCAAGTAGGATCTCGAGTAGATACCTGCTCAAAACAGAAGCTAGTCCCAGTGTCAAGAATACTGTTTGACATCTGGTTCAGCTTCACCTAAGGTTTAAAAAAAAAAAAAAAAAGACACTATACAAAAATTGCCAAATTGTTTCAGCACTTTGGATTTCTTTCTCTTCAGCTCTCCTCCACCTAAGGGCTGAAATTTAAATATAAGAAATACAGCAAAATGCTAGTCCAGAAAGTAAAGTTTGTGGTATAAGGCAAAACATTTCTTTTGAAACAAATTGTACACTTTGATTTACAGTTATAAACTGAATAACTGTCTTCTTTAAAGTGACTAGGAAAAAAGGTAATGACAACCAAAATGCTTTTTCTTTTCTAAGAATACCTTGAACACATACTCCCAGATTTAGAAAAGTCTGCCTCAAATGGACAAGTTTCCAAACAAATTTACTCTAGGAGATCAGTAAACACTAAGCACTTCTTACATTCTTTCTTGTTACTGCAATTTCCAAATTCAGTCACTTGAAATGAGCCCTGGGCTGTCTTTAATATTACACACATGTACAGAGAGATAGATAGAAATATGCTACGCAAAAGGTATGAAGAGGCATTCAAGCAAGTTTCATGACATCCACAGAAAGTTTTTTGAATTTGGGTTTGATTTTTTTTTTTTTTAAGTCCAAAATCTCTTTTTAAAAAAATTCTGTAGTTTTGCCTTTGTGTCCTGCAGCCTTTGTACACCACCCAACAAGGACTCGCACTGTCATAACTGGCCACTACTGCCAGTGAATGCAGGAGATGGCATTTTGCCCAACTAAAAGATACAGGCAAATCAAAGATTTGACTCCACGAACCACACCTATGCTTAAATGCAACGTGCAGATTGAAGCTTATCGGCATCGTGGGCATCATGCCCAATATCTGCCCAACACCTAAATCAGTGCTTTTTCTTGTATGAACGCTTTCGTCCATTCCCATGTTCTTTTCTAAAAAGGAATCCTCATTTCTGCTCTGCTCTACTTAGCAATCAGAAGAGCAAAGATGTGCAGAAACTTCAAGCACAGAGGAAAAACAGATTTGACGTGCAAGTAATTACAGCTGTCCCAGTTCTACCTTGCCGGTAGACCCTTCTAACCTGCCGTTAACTGCTATAATGCACCAAAAGTCCCATCCTACTTGCTTTCATAACCAAAGGCATCCTCTTTCCCATGGTACTTCCACGTCATACTGAGGTGAGGAACTTCGAAAAATAAAACATCCCATTTCACACTAGGCAACTGTTTATCCCATTCTGCACTAGATTGCATTTGAGAGAGAATCCAGACAACCCATAGCCAAAAGAACATCTCTCTTAAAGATGAGAGGATATAACATGGAGAAACCAGTATGCATTACCCTACTGAAACCTTTCTGTCACCATTTTAGAGAGACATTAGTTACCGGAGAGAGGTCATTATCAAGTCCGAGATCCTTCACTTTCTAATGTGGCCCCAGAATTCCTTCAAACATCACCCGTGAGGCTACAGCACTGTGTGAGAGTACTTCAGACAAACCAACTCAATTCATATCTTGCTTCTACTGTGCTCTAAAACAAAGCTAAAGCTTTTCCAAGCTGGAAAACCCCCACTGCTCTGTTTGTTCTCTGTGTGTAGTTGTTCTCCCTCTTTCCCTACAAGGTCATTAATTTTCTCTTGTAACAAGATCTCCCTCCACACTGAAAAGGAAAAAACTTTCAAAATTCGAGATGTTATTTTAAAGTATCTGCCCAATCAAAAATTAATTAAAAAAAGCAGGGATATCTTTTATAGCACTTTATAGTGAGCACAGTCCACAAAACACTGAAAAGAACCCCCACCTTATTGTACCAAAGTATATGTTTTAATACATACTTATATACACACACGTAGACTGTAAGACGGATGGATTCATCATCCCACAAGCATGACTGATTCCATCAGCTTGACCTCTGCTTTAACAGTGGAACTTCTCATCTGTTTGTAGCAATAATCCAGGGAGGACATGCCTCATTTTAATAAAATTAAGCAATCTCCACAAGACAGAGCTTGGACAGTCCCAGGGGATGCTCAGTCTGCACTCATTTTATAATGCCATCTGTGATGCTATTTAAGAAGCATACAGGTATTTACCATTCCTCTGTCAGGGGCTTCTAGTGTGCCTTGAGGTTTATTACAGCAGCACTTAGCAACTGTACACCAGTTATATCTCAAAACCTGGGATTTTTTTTTTTTTTGGTATGATTTCTGTAACACAGCATGCTTTTGTAGCACTCAAAGCTTACTCTGTTCAATTAAATAGAGCTCTGTACAATGACACATCTTTGTCCACAGCACAGCAAGGAGTTACCTCAAAATAAACTTCTATGCAAGGGTCCTCGAGTCCAGACCTTGCTCTGATGTTCACAGTACCAAACAGGCAGCAAGCAGATAGCCCAATTGAGTAATGATGTAATTTTTTCATCTTAATCCAGCAACATTTTATATTTTGTATATATATCCACAAGAAGAGCTTTTACATAAAAGAGGAGTTGCTTGAATTGAGTTAAGCATCATGCAGGGCACCTGGAAAAAAAACGCCTTCTCATTTCTTGGTCAAGGGTTCAGCTGAACACAACTGACTTGCCCTGAACTAGAAGAGTCTCTCTTGCTGCCTTCGTTGCAGCATGATGAACAAGGAATCAGTGAATTTGTGGTTTAATCACCACCCAACGTTTCCAGAAGTGTTTAGCAAAATCACACACAAACAAAATCTCAAATTTATACAAGTTTAGCAACAGCAGAGCCTGAAGTATGTGGGAAGTACCTATCTGCAGATACTAAATTTTGTAATACTTAAAAGGCAGAGCTTATGCCATCAAGCACAACTGTGCTCTCTGAAAAACAAAACCAAAAATCTACTTGCCTAAGAGGAGAAGCAGCATCCTGTGCTCTCCCAAACAGCCTAACTGGAAAACCTCTATTACTGCTGATCCATGAGTATCTGTGAATGACTTTTTTTTTTTTTTTAAAAAAAACTTTGTTTCCGTTTCCAAAAAGTCTTGTCTTTTCTTTTGCACACCTGGCTCCTCCAGGCTGACCCCTTCTTCGTCTCACAGCACCGTTCCCCCTGCCTTCTGCTAATGCCTTCGGCAGGGGCCCACTTTCACATTTAAGAACCACCAACCAATCCCTACGTGGGGTTGCACACAGTTTTAGGAGCGGTGTAAATTTTTGCACAGCCCTCTGCTCTCAGGGATAGAAAATCGAGTACTTTCCTAACAGGATAAGTTTCAAAGATGTGTACCGCACTCTGACGTAGGCACCATCTAGCTGCAAATTTACCCTTCCTTACTGAAGAAAGAAATTTTTCTTAAAAAGTGCGATGCATCGCTAATAAAGTAGCTGTTTACGATTGCTAAAGCACATCCTGCTGAGCTAGGAAGTGATGCAATGCTCTGAGAAGTCTAAACATTTGGAGAGCGTTTTGGGCAGGCTCAATAAAGAGCCCTACGAAAATGTTTAATTTTTATTCCTGCAGTTTGACAGGAGGACAAACAAAAAACACAAATTCATTTTAGTAACTTTAATCCTTTGGGCCTTTTCCATATAGAGCTGATCTTCTGGAAAGCTGAATTCAGGTTTTTCCCTCTATGACAAACAAGAGATTGAAATTAGTTTGAACCCAAGGGCAAGTTCTTTAATACCTGTCCAACACATCTGACCTTCTCTTGTAGGAAAAGCTTGGAGGTTTTTCTCATCTGAAGAGAAATGGACGTTTAAGCTGAATTTCATTTTTCAGCTGTCAAGGTTTATGAAAGAAGCATGAAAAGGCAAAGTGACTTGCCTCACAATTAGCAGGAAAGGAAACTGAACCCCCAAATCAAAGCACTAGACAGCTAGACTACTTAGCATTTACGGAGCGCTTTTCCCACAGAATGATCCAATGACATTTTTCAGGTCTGTGTGGAAATCACCGCAGCATTTTAATGATAACTTTACAGCAGAGTTTTAGACAAGTGATAAAAAGTTTGTTTTAATTAAAGCTGCAGAAGAGTCGAGGTCAGCAGAATGACATCGGCTGACCCAATTTCAGAAAAAACACTGCATTGAAGGCCTACTTTATACGCACCTTGCACTGGCTTAGTGGAAGTATTATTTCGTACTGATTTTGTTAAACTGTTGCGGCTTCTTCATCCACTTTCTTACCACCCTGTTCTGTTCAACTCACACAGTACACAAAAATAGCAAGTTTTACTAATTCACAGCATTAGAAAATTTCTTGGTGAAGGTCAGGTTTTCTGATACTCTTTAGATAGCTATCAGCGCACATTAACTTGTACATCAGGTCTTTTAAAGGGCATTACACTTACTTTTAGAATGTATTTTCATGTAGATGAAGTGACATGTAAGAAAATGAGCATTTTAACTAGAAACGAACAATCCTCCCCTCTGACTACTAGACATTTAATCTAGAAAATATCTAGATTTAAATTAGAAAATGGCTGGAAGGGGAAAATAAGTTACTACAAAACTGTTTCCAAAGTTTTTTTGGAAGCAGAAGGCATTTTGAAATGTCTCATTTCATCATCCCTCAGATTGATTCTATACTCAAAACTGGGTTATTTTTGCTAAAAATTTAAAATCTGTACGTTTCTTAACGTTTGCAATATGACCATGAAACACAGAGCAGATTGTCTGAATAGCTGAGAAGCATTAAGAAAAAAAATTGCAGATGCTGTAGCCCATGTTAGCTTTTGTTCTCCTCGGTAAACTTAAAAGATACCACAGCGCATTTGCAAAAGCCAAATCTTTTTTTGTAGTGGTATCTCTCGCTGTTAAGACTTGACAACAAGACAAGGCGGAGTAGTGGGAAGAAAGGAGCAAGCCTGTACAAAGTAAGGAAGGAAAAACCTTTCACTCACAGTAGGTATAATATTGTACTAATAGGTGAAGCATAACTACTGCAGCATTTCAATTTTAGAGCACTAAGACAAACCTATAATTGAGTGCATATTCCCAGGTTTGAGTATAAATGCCAAACACTACACCTCTTTTGGAAAAATGCAGCTGCTCAGTAGGGGCCATCCATTATAAACTTTTGTTAAATTAAAAGTTACCATGTATTTATTCTTTGTTTCCAACCATTTCCCTGAAGTTGGATTTTTTTGTCAAGTAAAATGGATCACTGGCAAGGAGGGGAAAAAAGGAGGCAGCAAGATAGAGTCATTCATATAAGTGGTAAGTTAACTATGTAGTCACAAGATATAATTGGATCACATGCCAAATATAAATAACTGCTAACAATATCCACAGCAATTTCTCTACACATTTCCAGTACATCTAGAAAGCAGCAGCGTGACAACCTCAGGTTTTTTTGTTTCCTCTCCATCTGTTCACAGGGCAGCATTGTATTTCAAGGCCTTAGAAGAAAGGCAGGAAGTCGTACTTCAGGAGGAGCACTTACCTAGCTCACCGGCTGCGTTTCGACCACCAACGGCGTACAAATGTCCTTTGAGGGCACTTAGGTGGAAGAAGGTACGCTTCTCGTTTAAAGATGCAACTTGCATCCACTTGTTATAGCGGGGATCAAATCTGAAGACCGTGTCAACCGCGGTTTTTCCTTTTGTGTCGTAATTGCTCTGGCCGCCAACTACGTAGAGAAAGTTTCCAATCACAGCAATGCCATGCTGGTACCTTGGTGCATCCATGGGAGCAAGCGATTTCCACTCGTGGGCCTTCTCGTCATACATCCGTAATTCTTTACTGACAACCAGCTGCTGCCTCAGCACTCCCCCCAATGTCACCAAGTGAGTACTGTCCGACCGGATGGCAGTCCTCTCCGACTGCATGACTGGTTGCATGTACGGCATCATTTGGTAATTGCTAGCTTCCAAAAGCAAGTTTACGCAGGTGTTGTCAGTTCTCATGAAGTCCACTGTCTGAACATAGTTAATAAGATCCTGGGGTGTCATCAGCGGGAATCTGATGTTCTTCATTAGCTTTGCAGCATACTCCATCCGAGGCTCCTCATACCGCAGCCAGCGACAAGCCGCCTTGAAGAGTTCGAGCTCAGTGCAGTGCTTAAGGCTGTTACTTGAAAGCACAAAGGCAAGACGTTCAAAGGGGAGTTTCACAAATTCACCAGTACTTAATAATGCAGGGAAGTTCTTCAGGATGAAGTTATTAACATATTTATCCACTTCTGTGAGATTGTATGTGTTGGCAATTCGCCCAACCTCAACACAGTTTTCTAAAGAAACCTACCAAGTAAATAGAAAGAGGAATTAAAACACTTTCTTAATTTGGTGTCTAAATGATAATGTACACTTTAATGAATACTACAGAAGCAGCAATATCTTCATCATTTTGCAATGCTCAAGGTGATTTACACGTGAGCAAATAAATATTCAATGCGATGTACACATTCATGACTGCAAAGGGAGACCCAATACCTTCCATATTTTGAAGAAAGAAATGAGAAAAGTAGCAAGCGGATGGCATATATTAATTACACGTCAGATGTGTTATACAACGATGATACATAGCAATTATACAGCACTTCATCTTTGAATGCTCTGCAAACATCATTGTAAGTTAGAAATGTGGAAAACAGTCAAAGGAGAGATGATCAGCCCAAGGTCACAGAGAATGATGCAAGAGTAGGGCTTGCCACTGGACTTCTTTAACACATTACGGAACTTGTACTGTCCTAATGCAGCCAAAGAAAATGAAGTAGCTACCTCTCTCTCTCTCCAATGCTGTGTTTCTGACAACTTATTTACAGTGCTCAATCCCACAAATATACTATTTACAAATGAACAGAAGTGCATCTTCAGTAAACCAAGTTGGTGTATGTCCAGAATTAAATACATAGCACAGTCAAAAATAACACATCATCAAAGCTACCAGATTATTTATTATAGTGAACCTAGGAGGACTCACTCTAGAAATATTCAGTAAGTGCAATGCTTTACCAGTGCGGCTCATACCCTAATTTCATTCAATGTAAGGCAATACATTTTGGCTTTTCCTTATTGCTTACTACATTTCTTGTCGTCTGTTTTTCTGGAGATGCAGCAATTTGCTCATGACTGAAGATGGCATTTGTAAGAACAGTTTATCCGGTGACCATGTCTTTTCGGTGCTGCTGCATCTATCTTTCTTACATCACAGGCTCCTTAAATTCTCTAATCTGAGGTCCCTGGAGATTCAGGGCAGGAGGACAGAGGGGCATGGAAGGGATGGGACACAACTTAAAATGGGACTCCGGGGACCTCAGCCACTTCAGCTAGCTCTGTGATACAGACACATGGCAAGTCAATTTTCAGAGGCGTCTTGAATGCAAGAGAGCTCCAATTTTCAACAGTGCTGAGATTTATGCTAACCCAAACTTCGTATATACACGCTTTCCAGTCACCTTGGCCAACAGCATATAAGCAACACAACATCGACAATTTCCATAACTTTCTCATGATTCTCACTGTATTTGTAATGCCAGAAGAATTTAAGCTTCTAAATCTCATGGTTAATTAAAAAAAGATTCTAAAGATTGAGAACAGCTACCTGGCTGTAGCCTCAGCATTCAAAAACCTGAGGGTCATGACAGAGATTACAAGATTTTTCTACTGCATAACCTGTATCTGATCACTGCCCTTTAATATCAGACAATTCTAAAAATACAGTGAGTTTGTGAATAGTAGATATTCTTTTTATTCACTAGAAACAGATCTAACTTGTCCTAGAGTGAATATCCGCAGTCATCAGAAGTCTTTGTTCACATGCCCTGAAACGCCTTCAGAGAGTCATAGGCTCCATAGCTTAGTCTTCATCTCAGTAAACACTAATCCTGTAATCAGGATTAATCTGAGATTAATGTCTGGTAAACTAACAGGATTTCTATTATAATGTATCTGTGCAATACATAAATAACTAGGTTACATCATAAACCTTTGTGATTGAATATATTCCTGCAATGCTTATGCTGGAGAAACCGACTTATTAATTTTACAGTGTTAATGACAGATGAACATCACATCAGCAGCATCCCATCACCCCTACTCCTCTCGGACAATTTACCTCATACTGCCTTAATTAATCTACCGGTCTGGTACTGCACTCGGGTCTTTTTCAGTGTTATGACTACAACTAGTCCCCGTTACGCTCACGACATTGTGCACTTTGTTTGGCTTAGTAACAATTCCATTACTTATCTCAAATTAGGGTACCACATTATTTTCTTAAAAGTTACTTTCCTTGCCAAACGTGTTATTATTACGGATTTTACTGTTCTTTGAGATAATCATCAACGAATCGGGCTAAAATTTTTTGCCAAGAATTATTCCATGGTCATAAAATGTATCTACAGACTCTTAAGTTCTGAGCCAGAAATCTAATCCTTTAACAGAATGAAATGTAATACTCACTTCCACCTAAGTATTTAAAATTGGACAGGGCTAAAGTACAATAATGCTAGTTACATACTTAACAAGTTACTGAAGTGTTGATTTTCCAAAAAAAAGGCTTGACTTATGCTCTAGTAGTTATGAGAGGTGCGGAAACTGCCTGCTCTCTACAGAAGCCAGTAGATCAGGAGCTCAAAAGGAAGGAAGAAATCGCTAGTTCTGGAAATCCCAAAGTGAACTGCAGGAATGGAAGTGTCAGACAAAAATAAAAGACTGGTTGTACAAAGGATCCAGTGACTAGTAAAGAAGTTGAGATTTTTTGATAAATCCTCTCACTTGGGCTACTGGTACTCCACTTGGACTACAGGACAGAGCTGCTCTTTCACAACGTCTGCTCACTACAAAGCAGAAGCAACACCTCCAGAAAATACTGAAAAGCTTTTTTTTTTAAAAAAAGTGTCAAGCGCACCTTGAAAAATCAAATGCATAAGCAAAAATGCTGTCTAGAGAAAGCAGTTGACTTAATTTTTCGAAATTTTGAAACAAGTGCTTCCCAAGCTCTATTTAAAAAGAAAAACAACCTTAATTGACTATACCATACTGTAAAAGCAGACGCTGAGCAATATAACGGCAAGCAATCCGAGAATCCCTGAATAAATTTCAACTTTCTGTGCAAGTTATTTTTACTAGTTCCTCAAGGCCAATATCACAGAACATTCAGTGTTATATTTCAAAGAACTATTAGACATCGAAGCACTTAACGTGTGGACCCCTTTTCTACGTTTCAAAGAGCTTATATTCCCCGAAATCCCAAATTTTTCATGGGCTCTCATACACAAGAGTCCAGAAATAACAATACAGAAATCCCAGCCAGCTCAGAAACTGGCGTTAACCACATTCACACTCCTCTCCATGCAGGACTGCGAGCTGGCAGGCTTCACTACACACGTAAGAAAAGGTAAATCCCTTGAGCAGCCCAAACGCCCAGTAGTCAGCTTCTTAGATCCCACTCGCTCCCAAAACTGAGACCACCTCGCTCCCAAAACTGAGACCACCTCGCTCCCAGTTAGGAATGCTTGTCGCGGACTTCCAACAATTAAGACCACTTTTAACAATTTGCCAGCCGTTATAAAAATGTAAAATGGAATTATAAAAGCAACAAGATCTACCTAAGCAACTATACCAAAGGTAAAGCTGAGATATTTACTTTCAGCCTTTTGAAATATTTTAATTACAGTATAATATTCCATTTCCCGTTACACTGCTGTTTTCCCCTGAATGTTGTAATTTATTTGGATAGGTTTCTAATCTTCCTCCGTTTTATATGTTGCTATTACTCTTACCAAAACAGCACTGTGCATTCCCTAGCACTCTACTCCGAAAACATTTCCCTGCCTTTTTTATTAATTTTCATTACATTATGGCTCCTTTAGGTATGGAACACGGGAGCAATCCTAGCCTGTTGTAGCATTCTGCAAAGCTATAAATATTTAAAACCAATACTAAAAATAAGGCAGACAACAGCTCCGGAGATTTCCAGCGTTGTCGCTGGGAGTCCATTCAGCTGCAGAGCAGGTCTGCAAAGTTTGTCAGAACTACTGAGCTCGGGCTCTTTGTCAGGAAGGGTGTAAACGCACAACAGAAAACCATCTGCAAGCCAGCCACAACATGCATCCTTCTGTGAGGGTCTCCCTGTTTTGACATAAATTAAGCTGCTACTTTGAGCTTATACTTTGCTTTGTAAATATTTCCAATATCCTCTTATAAAGGAACACCGTTACGTTATGCTTTACATAAAGTGGCTCCTATGATTTCTTTAGCAATGAACTCCCCAGACAATTCAAAGACAATTAAGTATTGTGTGGGAATAGTTACCTCAGCTCCCAGATGCTGCTGCTCAATCAGCTAACTTCAGGAGGAATAAATAAATAAATAAATAAACCTCACACCCTAAGACCTGCTCAAAGAACTCATTTAGATTAGAAATGTTAATTCAAGAACGGAGTGAAACTATTATAACGTTACAATCTCTGCAAAACTAAGATACGGTAATTAAAAAAGCAAAACGAAAAAAACCCCACCAAACCTGGAGTTTGCTCACCAACTCTTGTTCCTGTTCGAACAAACTTCTGAGTAAGTTCATTCAAAAATTCAAAAACTATTCTTTATACAAGACTGCAGAGAATATCACTAGGCTAAATGTACAAACTCAGTTTTGTCCTCTTTACGGTTTTACAATGAATGAGATTTCTACATGTTAATCTTTTTGACTGTTTTCCTCCATTCCAAATGTTCTTGTTCTGCTTACAAACATATTTAGGTATCCCTATATGCAAAGAATGATGCACACTGGTGCAAGAAAGGCCAAATATTTTTGACACTTTTAACCTCTAAACACATTCTGTAATGTATATAGACCTCAAAGTTACAGGCACTCTGTACGCAAGTATTCTCAAATCTGGAAGGATGTCAGAAGCCCCACAGTATTGAGGTGTTTCAAAAAAAAAAAAAAAAAAACCCACACTTTAAAATAATAGGCTTTTAAGACATTTTGAAGTAGAGAGTGATATAGATTTACACTGATTTGAAAGAACTCCAGTCCCCTTAAACATCAGTATAAATCAAAATATGCAATAAAAGAGCATCAATCACATTAAGAGAACGAATAAAGTCTTCTGGCCTCTGAGGTTCACCCCTTTCAAAAGGGGATCTCAAATAAGACGTTACTTATTTGAACCAAAACGACAACTGAGTCAACACTGTAGGTGGAAAACCTTCAGAAAATCAGAACATCACAAATGATGGAAAAAAAAAATCCTTCCAAATAACATGATTTAAGATGAAAGAAGCTCTTTCCTTAAGAAAGCACAAAAAAACAAGTCGCTGTTCTACCTAAAAAAGGGAACCGTCACAGAACAAAGGGAACCTGGGGCAGATCAGAGACCAGAGAGCCAGAAACCATCGTCAGGGCGTGCATTGTCCCCCCTGGCCCAACTCCCACCCAAGGGAGCCGCTCCAACTATTCCATCTTGGTGTTTATAACAATGCAAAATAGATGGTGCAGGATTAAGATTAACACAACATTATCTCAACTCTCGCAGAGAGCTGGCCAATAAGAAAATACGCCATAGAAAATAGAGAGCCTAGTTGCATCCAACACTTCCCTTACGGAGCAGATTTCTGTCATTTGCATCTTTTGAGTCCTCTTGTTTGCACAAGTCCTGGTCACGTTTCCGTACCCTGTGAAACTATGAGATCACCTGCTTCTTTATTTGTCATTACTGACATATAGAACATCGAATGCCAAACAATGTTATAATTCAGGTAGAACCCACCCGTTTCCCTCCTAAAGGTTTTGAGCTAGATTTCTAGTAAGGTATAGAAGCAACTAACAGCAGAAAAGCTTAAGGAAATATTAGGAATAACGCCAAAGCACATCCCTCTGAACGCCTTTCAGAGCAGAGCTCTGCAGCTCTCTCGTTCTGCATCCCCACAAAGTAGGTGCCCTTTACTTGCTGGCAGGACAAAGTTACATTTACACAGGACTGCAGAGCATCAGCCAGGCGAGGTACTGAAACATCCTGTACTGGCATTGCTTACATCCTGTGTGCGAGATAAAATACAGACAGCTGCACCTGTATTATGAAATTGCACTGTTTAACTATATATATCTTAAGTAAATATAATTGAAGCATACAAAATTTATGGACTGAGTCCACTGAACAGAATGCTAGAAGGAGCACCATCATACAGCGAGACCCTGAAGCCGCTGATACCTGAGATTTAAAAAGGAAAAGATGTTTGAAACATAAAACCTCTGAAAGACAACCTAAGCTGACAAAATCTGTATGTGAGCTGATGTTTAGACTACAGCAATATTAAACAGTGGAGTACTAAACAGTGCTCTTAACAAGAGGCTGCAGCTCAATGAAAAAAGGAAATATTTCTCATCAGGTTTCTTTCCTCACATGCCTTTTTCTACCCATGAAGACAGAACCCAGGAGAAAGTCTACACAAGTAGAAGCTGAGTTACTTAAGCTAAGTCTTTAAAATCTGTCGTGCTGCTGCAGAAGAAATTATCTCGTTTGTCTTTTAATACAGAGAAGATTGCAAAACTGTTTAGACATTCAGCTTGAAGGGAACGCAGCACTTCTCCAAAGCACCACCTCAGAATAGCACAGGACATTGGCTCTGAAGAAGGAAGAAAAGCGCATTACTAAAGTGTCCCCCAAGGAGTGGGTTGATGACCTGAGATTTTAATCTCAATTATAAATAAGAATCAGCAGGCCAACTCTAAACTGTAAATAGACTGCACTGTATTGCAACTACACTCTACTTGTTTGCAAGGCAAGCTTCGCTACTGCATAAAAGCAACCCTGATTCAAGTTGCATATGCGTTCACTTTTTAAATACACAGTACTAACGGAAGAGGAGAAGGTCGCTACTCTGTAAGCAAGTCCCCTGCTTACGAAACTAAGTTTTGTTCATTGTGAAAAAATATTTTCCAGCAGGCATTCGAGGCCATTTTTTGTCCTAGTATACTACAGTAATCAATATAAAATTCTGGTAGCTACTTTTCTCATATAACTGACACTTCTGTAACATCCTATTAGTAATCCCTTTAGAAGGTGTATTATACTAAAGGACCGTGACCAAGTTCACCAATTCACAAAGACGATGTAAAAGTTTCTGTGAAGATCACTACAATCATGCACGTCACTCCTCAAAACAAAAAGGTTTACAAAAAGTATTATTACTTTGACAACAACAATGACAGCTTGCTCTTTTATTTTTTCAGTTGAATACAAGAAGTAGCTTTCTTATGGAAGGATGGAGAACGTGAGAGCATGAAGAAAGAAATCCAGTAAGGCATCTGTGAACTATAATTACTGTTGCTGTTACCATCGCTGAAATGCACTTAGGAACTAAAAGAATTGTAATATGGTATAATATTCACATAAAACACACCCTATACATAATACTCAAAAGACTTTCATAATTTCCTTGAAATTCTCCTTCTAGATCTTACTGCGTGAACATAAATCATGAATAATGGCAAGTTTTAGGCCTTAACTTTGCCTATTGTTTAGCCACTGTTGTTTTTAAAAAAAAAAAAAAAAGACCTTTATTTTTCTGAACACGAAGCATGAGTAGCATTAAATCAACATGTCTTACCCCGGAGATAAGAAACACTTTACAGAAGTCCAAAACAGGTAGAATCTGCAAAAAGCTGGCAGCTTCCAGAGTGTCCTGAAGGTTGTCCATGTTAAGGGAAAGTTTTGCAGTATAAATGAAATCAATGATCTTCTTTAGGCCTATTTTGTTCACACCATGAAGCTTAATGCACATTAAATCCTGCTCCTTCATTCCTCCTGAGAAAGACACGGAGGTAAACTTATATGATCATTTTGATTAGGACTGATTCACACTCAATACTGAGCACGTGTTTGAGTGTCCAAGTGACAGTGATTTAGAGATAGCTACACGACTTTAACAAAAACACCACCTGTGAACATAGCCTTGAAGTAATCACTTGCAGAGGCCATCATTGCTCTGTGAACAGGAAACACTTCATCACCGTCGCCGGGAACTAACGTCACATCACAGAGCAAACCTTCAACTCGCAGCTGGTCAAAACCCTGCAAGAAGACCATAAGGTGAAACATCTGCTCCATCTACGAGGGGAGCAGGAGTCTCTTGCTTCCCTTAAGCGAAAAGTGAAATTTATTGACTTTTATTCACATACACACTGTAGTTCCAAAAAGTCACTGAGGAATAAGCTGTCATCTTACATACCATAGTATCTAATATATGGTAATTATCTAATAAACAGTAACTATTCACTGGAAAACTTACTTTCCATAAATCACTGAAGAATGCAAAGCATATCGTAGCCTTACTCATCCCATACTTTCTTTTCAGTAAGAAGTTAGTTCCAACAGCTTATACTCCAGAAGCTGTTTCAGGTAGGGACACATATCATCGCTTTGACACCTACCCATTCGGGAGGCACATTCATTCTAGATATAGTTCTGTTCCACACCATTCAAGAGGCTGCAAAATGCTGGGGCTTGCAAGGAAAGTGGTCATCTGGTTACGTAATTATCAAATTTATACCAAAGTGAACAAGACAAACTCCAAAATCTGCTCTTATGTTGGTGTATCTGCTCTGCTTCCTTTTCTGAAGTACTCATAATGGCCAACTGTAATAAAAGAAATAGTCATCCGCAACAGTAAAGAAAGATCTTCTTCCAAATGTATGCCTGGCTGGGGATACTGCAGATGAGTACAATATTAGCGTCCTTCATGCACTGCAGAACAGAAGCTCAAACATAAAACAGTTTCCTTCGGTCAGGCACATCATATGATTTTTTTCCAGTACTAGCAAACATGCAAATATTGCCTTTATAGATTTAACACTTGAGGAAGTCTTGGCCTCAGCTCCTAGGGTTTACAATTTAAGATACCTTAAAGAAAGGCTGTATTTTTTCAAAACTACAAAGGTAAGTAGAAAAGGGCATTCAAATCTGTCCAACAGAAAAGAACAGAGTACAAATGAAGAGGTGAATTATTAGCTCTAATAAATACCAGAAGCCAACGCAGGATTACGCTTTTCAGCGCCTTTTGTGATATTTATTGCCAAGCTTTCACACCAATGTCAAATCAGCAGCATAACTCATGACAGTGCTGCACTGACGCCAGAACTCTCTCTACAGGTCATAAGTAAATGGACTGTAATTATGGTATCAGGCTTGTAAGACAATGGCAATAAATAGAGGAAGCAGGACTCCTTTATCAGGAGCAGTCTTCAACTGCAAAGAAATATGGAGACTTCCCACATTCCTGGTAGTCCCTTCCTCCTCATCCAGAACAGTTCATTTCTGATGCACAAGAGGATCAAATGTTTTGCAGTTCACACACTCAGGCATTCAGACAAGCAAACCCCTTATTTTCAGCTCTTGCAAAACTGATGCATCTCAAGGACTCGAGTTTTTACAAACACAGCTTTACAACTACCAGCTCTCCATTGGCTTAAATCGTGAAGAAAAGACTAGGAAGACGTGAAGAAAGAATCGTGAAGAAAAGACTAGGAAAAGACGAGGAAGAAACAAGGTCTCAACACTTTGCCTAGGCTTCCCAATATCCTTTTTCGCTGTTACGTCCTTACCCATATTAAAAAGCTAATATCTTTGCTGCTAGAATGCAGAGGATAGAATCTCTTTCTAATAACATACAAATTGAGCACAGCATAACCCTGCAGCTGGTGTTTTATGGTTTTCTCCTCCCCACTTCTCTCCTTCGCTGATGGCAGTTCTCCTAGGAATTATGCCATACATAATGCATACATAAGTCTGCACTCCTGAGAAAGCTTGCGCGGGAGAGTAGCAAGAACTGTCCAAGTTTTTAAGCTTGGTTCTGCATAAAACCTCCATCAGAAATGAGAAGATAAAATGCTTTTATATTTAAGAGTCTTACAGTTTGAGAGGATAATGTTTTTATCTGTTAGAAGAAAGCACTACCACATGGTAGTCCTGTCTAATTCCATAGTTTGATTGTGTCTAAGCAGATAAAAGTAGAAGAGGGAATCAGGATACCAGTTTTAAGATGTCAAGATAACGACACAGATAACAACCTTCCAATCAGAATGGTACTTCAGGGAGAAGGGAGCATGGTTTCAGTGATCTGTACAGGTTTCATGTCCAGTGCAAACTTGTAATATCTTCCACATGGAAAGGCTCAGGGCTTTTTCCAAGTGTTGCTGGAGAAGTAGCTATATGGAACCACTGGACTTCCTAAAAGTCAGAGCTACAACCATCTTAACTTCTCTGGGTTCGTTTTTGGCAGCTACAATAGCAGCTAAAGATGGATTTACTCAGTCTTTGCAGGACGAAAGAGAAGAGAACTTCACCATAGTTCTAGCAACTCTTCTAACAGATTTCAGGATACCTCAGCCTTTACTGAAAGTACCCAACCTTAAAAAAAAAATTCATTAGCAAGTTTAACAGTAAGTATGCCAAACATTTTTATGCGATTACACATTTACAGTAAGATGATCTTACCATTTAAAGTTCATTTGTTTTTTTTAGCATAAGTACAGACAAGTAGAATCGCTAATCTACAGAACACAAGTTAGGAAAAATAAAGTTTCATGGAAATTAGCTGATACAGTTTTGAATATATGAATGTATTTTGGTCAGATTTTAGAGCACAGCCAATCACCTTTCATCTCCTTTTCTCCTCTTCTGTAGGCTCTCCAGCACCTTTGTTACATGGTCAAAAATTTTGTTTTTTTATTTTGTTTTGTTTTTTCAATACATAACTTTTGAATATTAAAGAAGAAATACAGACCTGTAAGACTGCTGGATTTATCAACAGGGAAGATTCTGTATTTTGAGAAAGAGGGATACTCATTTGCGACGGACAAAAATTAAAGTCACTTGCTATCTACAATGTAACAGCAATTCTTTTAATGTACACTAACTGCAAGAATTTGAAACTTGTTGATTTAATAGCTATTAATATTTATCTTGTTTGCCTAGCTAATTGCCATACTGCAGGCCATTTCACAGGTAGTTCTGTAGAATATACTTACAGTGACTAAAAAAATAATAATGAAGTAAACGCATATTAATACAATTCAGAAAACAGAGCATCTTTCTATCTGCAGACAAAACAGGCTTCCCAGCAAGGCTCCTTTGCTGCCGCGTAAAATTCACAGGCACTTGCCGTGACAAGGAAAATTCAGGGGATACTGGCAGACCCGTTGCAGGGGCATTGCATCAAACCAGGGCATGGCTTTAGGGACACGGGAAAGGAATAAGGAACTCTCCTCATAGCATTTCTAAGGCAACTCTGAGACACAGAGATGCTACGAGTGCTTGCCTAAAATAATTACATGACTAATGCCAAGTGAGTTGCTCTGATACTGCCGTTATTTGGTATTTTAAACCATATTACCTCTCTGAATCTAACAGCCATATAATTACAGGAAAAAGTCATTTTTTTTTCCTCCAAGCTGTTGCTGAAAGTTGAACCTTTAACTTTCAGGAAAAGAAACGACAAGCCATGCTGCTTTGGGGCACTGTCAGCGCGGCACACGAACACACGCTTCCTAAGGCTTTTCAGGAACAGCTAGTCTGAAAAGCTTGGAGAGTGGAGGCATTGCTTATAGAGCCTTCAGAATTCTCCGTACAGGTCACTACTGACACAAGAGTATTCAATTACCTGTAATACCACAGAACTGTGAGTATTGCTGGTGAAAAATCTCGTGGTTCCTGTCTTCGAAGACTGTAGATGGGCAGAGACGCCCATATCGCTGCTACCCAGAGATACTTTCATATGAGGATCCTCCTCTTCCACCAGAGATCTAAGAAGATTAGAACAAAGAAACTTTGAGACCGAATTCATGTTCAGACAGTGTCCTTGTGTATTAAAACCGCAGTTGTCTCGAGTAAAAAGTTACAGCGTAGAGGCTACGGGTCAAAATCAGCAGGCAACACAACCGGTCCTTATTGGTCTCCATCGTTTAACCTAAGAAAGGAAAATGTTAGAGTACCTAAGCAGTCTAACTTAAAATTGTAATTTTTAGCTTTTTTTTTTTTTAAATCATTACTTTTTCCCCCAAGATTCAGAAACTTGGGCATCATTTTTTTTCTATTTGCGCTTCCCATCTTTAGCATGTTTTCAAGCGTTCAGTGTCCAAAAATCAAGTGTCTCACCACACCGGATTGCCATGGAAAGCTAAAAGATTAGCACATTAAAGGTATTTTAAAGTTTAGTAATTTCATTTTATGGGCTGTATCATCTTGCTCAAGTATGAAAACCACAAAAAACATATCTAGTGTGGTAATTTTAAGCTACTTTTAGAAATACACAACTAGAAGAACTCTTCTACAATACGAGATTCACTACTTCACTATTGCAGGCAACCGCTTCATACAATTTTCACTTAATATTCGTTAGTGTGAAGAGTCAGTAGCATGATTTTGATTCTGAATAATTACTGTCCGATCTAGAGAGGAAGGGCTGTTTTTAGGTAGCACTATTTAAAAAATTACCACACTGCTACTGACCTATCATTTTAATCTGGAGATGCAAAGTAGATTTACATAAAGAAACGTGCATATACAATTCAACCTACCCTAACCTGTAATTATTGCAAAATCTAAATAAATCTAATCTCTAGAAAGTTTAGTAACTAGTTCTCATAATTTCCATGACTGCATATACCACCTATTGGCACGCACACCAACATAATGCATGCTCTCTCTATAGATGTGCATATATACAATATTAATTAGCAAACATATGCTGTTAACTCACAGGTGAGGATATTTTCATTATTAAGAAAGACCCCATATTTCCAGAAATAATCATAGCAGTCTGACATAAATGCTGTGAATCTCAGATACAAAAAGCCCTCCAGAGGTTTACATGCAGGTAAAAACATTGGCCTCCAAACTAGTTTCAGAAATTACTTTAAATAAGTGACAAGAATATGTTTAAATTAGTCTCCGCTCCCCCCTCAAGGTTTGACTGGGATCACTATGTAAGGACAAAATGGGAATTTGCAGATGAAAAATGGTTTACTTTTCCTCCCTTTTTTGGTATGTTAACTACTCAGAGCAGTTTCTGAAACTTAGAAATTCTTCTGACAGCACTGACGTGCCTTGTTCAAACCCATGGTTACTTAAGGTCAGCTATGAAAACATAGTCAAAACAAATTCACCATTCAACAGTTTACATGGGTTTGAAACACTGAGATCTTATGCACACAGACGTAACAGACTGTAGGAACAAGGGTACATCTAAATAGCTTTGACTCCTAATGTAGCAATCCAATATTCATACATCCAAAAAAATTTCATTAAATGTGGATGTACCGTAGGATGCAAGAGTTCAGTCATTTTAAAAACAGAGTGATTTCCAATTTATAACACAAATCCAGAGTATGATTTAAATACAATTTTTTTGACCAGTATATCGCACTGAGAAGAGCGTTCTCCAAGCTACCCTTGCCGTACAATAAATGCATCATTCAACGTAACACAGCAGCAAAGCAGCTGCTAGCTTGCGACCCGAAAGATTTTCTGTTCATTTTGTTCCAGTTCTTCGTTAATTCAAAATATAATCACATCAAGGAGAGAGTCTACTGTGATTTCAAAGGACATTCAGTCTTTAAATTTGTTTACGTGTCTTCCTAAGAGAAGAAACACAAAATAACATTGGGAGGCTTCTGGGTGTGGGCGGGAAAGAGCTGCAGATTCGACTAGCATTAATTTGACAGCATATGCTCTTGAAAGAGCTTCCAGAAATGTCAGATCAGATAGTCATTACACGAAGGGGCTTTTAAAATTTTTTTTTTTTTCAACTTGGAAAAAAGCAGAAGATCGGCGGTGGGGGGGGGGGGGGGGGGGGGGCCACCCCCCCCCACGCACACAAACAAGCAAACCAACTTGCTTGCCAGTTTGGAGGGGGCTTTTCACCATGGCTGCCACCACACGCTATTTCCACTTCTCAACAGCTAGCATATTTTATAACGTTTGCAAAGGAAGGCAAAGGCCTTGACCATGATGCATTTATTCCAACAACGGCAGTAATAACGAGACCTACTTCTCCGGAGAGGCCGCGAGGAAGGGGCAGCATTTTAGTCACGGTTACACAGCTCCCTTGTAGGAGGGTCAGCAGCCCCGCGGCCCCCAACACCCACAGTTTTTTTGTTCAGCAGCCCAGCGGCCACCATCACCACGAGCGCTTCCCCATCCAGACCGGACCAAACACTATACTGTTACCACAAAGTGAGCTGAAATACTGGAAAAAACGAGGAAAAGCAACCTACCCAGAATACATTTCATTGACATGTTTATCGACTTGCCTCTGAAGCCCTACCAGGAGATCAGTCAACTCTGGAAAGAGCACGCACTTTGCCACTTGCATATGTGGGCAAAACGCAGTACACAACCGTCTGCGTGGCACTTCCCTGGTAGCGGATTTGGCACTCTCCCTGCTAGTGTTTGCCAGTACAGAGCGCACAGCATATTTTATACACATCTCTGCACATAAATTACATAAAATTTTCCAAGCTTTGTCCTAAAAGGGCCTCTAACACGCGATACCTTGTTTCTATAGCATACACAATAGAGAGAAAGTATATTTTAAAACGCTTATAATACTTACAAAAGCCACACGTTTAACAGAGCCGAGGTGTGGCTACAAGCAGTTATTTCCCTTATCTGATTTTCGAAACGTAATAGGCAGTTGCCCAATATCTAGACCACGCACGTAAGCTCGGCAGCTCACAAGCCCCTCTGCACAGAATTGCCTTGTTCTACAGAAGACGCTTTCATTATTCCTCTTCTGCAATTGCTGTCAGGTATGTACAGGAATACAGTGTAGCTTGTGTTCGCTAATTAGACATTAAAAATGCAAACCTGAATGCTATAAAAATCCACCAGGCATATAAATGTTACAGTTCTAATCTCAAATGCTAACTTGGCTGCATTTGACTCAGAATAATTTTAAAGATAACCAGACAAAATTGGTCTTATAGTACTAGTCTTTGGTGTATATTTAAGATAGCCATTATGAGGCCTTTGACGTGTGTAATACACAAACGCTCCTAACAGCCTGCTGCCACCACCGAGACCTAGTCCGTATTAAAGAGACGAAATCGAGTCACTGTAAAGGTGCTTTGTACTAATCAAACAAATCAACTGTTCCGCCTCAACTGCTTCCCATTCAAGACGGTGGGATTTTCGTCTCTTTGAAATCAAGACCCTGTTTTCCTTTCTGGAAGGTTACCGTACGTTTCAATAAAATCCACAAACACAATTTTTTAATCCCCTCTCATTCCCATCCAAAGAAAGGTGGTTTTATATGCACAGCATCTTTCACCTGCAGCTTGCTCAACGGTTCAGGAAGGACCGGCACACACTGCCATTCTGCGGCAAGTGACATTGCGGAGTTTCTTTTGGCAAAGTTACAGCGCGAGCCAGCACTGGGACCAGGGACCGGCACGCTGGTCTGCTGAACCCCCGTGCTGTGACACACGGACACACGGAAACAGCCCTCCCAACGTGACCAGATGTTCCGAATTTGCCACCGGCATCGTACCAGTTCTGACATTTACCTTCACATAACAGCCGAAAGTACTCATCGCTGCAAGACAGTGGGAATGCAACAGCGCTGACATATTGCACTGATACCAGTAGACAAGGAAATGAAAAAAAAAAAAAAACACAAGTACTATATCATGTACAACAAAATTCATCTAAAAACAGCCCTCTAAGGAGATTTCAAATTATTACAACGCACAACTTCCATTTTGGGGGCTGTAAAACGAATATTCGAAAATAGCTCTGCCACGTACAGCCAGGCCACAAGGGTTCACGCGAGTTCACAGCCAGCTGAATTCCCAGGGAACGCACAGTCGGTGCATCTGCCTTGTTTAGGCACTGTCACCAACTGCATTATTTATATTCATTAACATAGGTTTGCCAAGCACTATAACTAATTAGATAGTAATGAATGTAAATATATTGATTTGTACTGTATTGTAAGTACAGTATATCACGATTAAGCAAACTACTGAAGAAGAAAGCTAATTCATTTTCTAATTAATTCTATTGTTCTGATCAATAGAAGTCATTAAACAAGAGGTGCAGCAGTAGCATTTTTAATTGGAGTAAAAAAAAAAGTTGGTGGAGACGACTACAATAGCATGCAGTGATAATTCACAAGAAGTTGCTATAAACGTGGCTATTAACACCACTTTCAACATACACGCTTGGTCTGCACAGTTTTCCATAACAATTATAGGAACAACTAGATTCTCTTCATTTATCTTCTGTTTACACGTATCCTTTTTAATCTCGCTTATCTACTACAAGTTACCTGAACCCCCCTCTTGGACAGTTTGTGCGATTATCTTTAGAAACAGAAAGAAGATAAGTCAAATGTTGAGATATAAAAAAAAAATTAAAACCGTTTAAGAGTCTTACCAAGGTAACGTCAAATCACACTGACTCGTTTTGTTTTTGTAGCTCAGGCAGAGGAAAACCATACTGCAGTTGCCATGGCTAAGTACCACCTTCGTGGAGAAGATGAAGTTTAAACTGGAACAATTCAGTAATATCCAGGGACAGGAAGGAAATAAAACAATAATTCTCTGATGTTTTCTTAAGAAGAAATTGAAGTTACTCTGATGTGACAAACACGGCAACTATGGAAATTATTATCGTGAATCTGTTCATTTAGGTCAGCAGATTATTGATCTGGTTGAAATGGTCAAAGTACAGCACAGTCTTGGCACGCAAAAGAAGGGCATCGGCCTACATCTACAGATACTTCAGAGCACATGATCCCTGC